CTCCAGAGCTGGACGCAGTACTGCAGGTGGGGTCTCACCAGAGCAGAGGAGAGGGGCAGAATCCCCTCCCTCGACCTGCTGGCCACGCTTCTGGGCTGCGAGCGCACATTGTCAGCTCATGTCCAGCTTTTCATCCACCAGTACCCCCAAGTCCTTCTCAGCAGGGCTGCTCTCAATCCGTTCATGCCCCAGCCTGTATTGATACCGGGAGTTTACATGGGCCCGCTTCTCGAGCTTGTCCAGGTCCCTCTGGATGGCATCCTGTCCCTCAGGTGTGTCAGCTGCACTGCTAGTGAGTAGACTTTTGTGAGCAGGGGCTCTCTTCAGTTGAGTTTGCACAATGCCTAGTGAGAAAGACCTAGTTGCTAGATGAGAATGACGAATAATAAAGTAAGCAAGTCTGAATTTCTATTTTATATATTTAATGATATCTTTGTACTAGAGTCCAAGACTTACAACCTTCAACAGCCCCTGCATGCAGACCTATGGAATAGTTTCGAAACGTTATGGTTAGTTCGGCTAGGGCTCAGTGTCCAAGCTGAATTATAAATGCTACTTAGACTTAGATAGTGGCTGTGAGGAAGGTATTGACCAGAGGATGGAAGTTCACTTTGCAGGGGTTCAGGATGCATATGTTTTTCCAAACAATCTTTTTATGTCCCTTTGCAGAGCTCTGGCAGCCTCTGCCCCAATCTGGCAGTTTGGAGATTTGGTTCCGTGTGGCACTTATTTCAGCATAGTGACTAGTGATTTCAAAAAGGGTGGGACAGGCTGCTCAGAAAGCATCTGGAATTCCTGGAACGCCATTAACCACCTTTCCTCAACAGGTGAGACCTCACCAATACTTTTTCCAAGGGTTGTAATGTTCAGGATTGTGTTATGACTTCATAAAATCAGCAAGTTTGTTACGGCTTTCACCTGTATATGTATTGTTTTTTTTGAAACTATACTCTTAGTACTGAAAACTGCCAAATGAGCTTAGCATTATTTTTTAAATGTCTGTTTTGTTGGATCTCAAGCTTCTTTCATGCCTGCTGTGATTCAGAATCCAGGTCCAAACATCCCTAAGGTCAGACAAGAGCTGACTCCAGATCAGAACCTCAAGGCTTGTATTCTGTTCTGACAAAGTAGGCTAGATAGTCGTTATTCTAAAAAAAACCAGTTTAAATACCAACAGAGGCAATCAGGTATAGAAAATCACTGCAATCCTTATGGATTCAGTGCTGGGGACTCAGCTGAACTCGACCTTAAGGTCTTTTCCAACCTAAATGATTCTGTGATTCTACAGCTACCTGAAAGGATGTTGTAAAGAGGTGAATGTCAGTCTCTTTTCCCAGGTAACAAGGGATAGGATGAGAGGAAATGTCCTCAAGTTGCACCAGGGAAGGTTTAGATTGGATATTGGGGAAAAATGTCTTCACTAAAAGCGTTGTTAAGCATTGGAACAGGCTGTCCAGGGAAGTGGTTGAGTCACCATCCCTGGAGGTATTTAAAAGATGTGTAGATGTGGTGCTTAGGGACATGGTTTAGTGGTGGGCTTGGCAGTGCTAGGTTAACGGTTGGACTCAATGATCTCTTCCAACCTAAATGATTCTATGATTCTATATCAGATGAGCTCACTGTACAGCAAAGGAATTCAATTTAAAAAAAAAAAAAATCTTGCTGCTTGAGTTCAGTGTCCTAAAGAGAGAGCCTGGTATGATGAGTTAGCTAATTAAAATCAGGGAAGCTGAACTGGACGAGTCCTAGACCAGATAAAATAATGAAAGGAAAGGCCGGGAGAGTCCCAGGAGATCTATCTGTTAATAGTCCTTGCACTGTGAGCTAGCTGGTTTGAAGTTTTCCTTTCATTGGAAGAAGAGTGCCCTGATGTTACTTCCTATCAAAAAAATGCCAAATGTCTTGTAAATCTGTCTTTGTTTTTTTAGATAGTGTTATCTTAGCTGTGACATACCCCTATGCTGAAGTATGCAGATTGAACTTCCCTTCACTTAGAGGTGCTGACTAAGATTTGATCTGCTGTGCTTGTATGTATGTGGAATAATATCACCAGATTAGTTATGCTATGTGAAATATTTTTTTTAGCAGCAGCACAACTGACCTATGTGTTAATGGTACAGTACATTAAACATTATTTTATTTTTTCATTAAAGATGCAGGTTTACAGTGGCTTTCCAGCACATTTCATTTGTGCAGCCCATTAAAAACTCTTCAGGATGCTGTTATATTGAAAAACTGGCTGAGTGAAACATGGGTAAACTTGGCTATGGTGAACTATCCTTATAAAGCTGACTTCTTACAGCCTCTGCCAGCTTGGCCTGTACAGGTAATTGAGAACCAATGTCTTGTAGAATTGACCATTTGGTTTAACTAATTCTCTCCTTCTCTCCCAGTCTGCACTTTTTCCTTTATTTTTTGGCTCTGTAGAACCAACATGGCTGAAAAAAGAGAACCAGGGAAATACCTTCTTGTGCATCAACTGGTTTGTTGACTAACTGCCACTTGTAGGGCTAATAGATTGCATCAAGAGCCCAGAAGAAGAAAAGTGCCAGGGACGACTGAAAAAACTCAGCTGTCCTGCAGCGTTGTTCTTGAGGAGCAGAAATACTGCACAAAAAGCACGTGCAATTAGAGCTTCTGATGCCAGGCTTAGCTGGCAGAGCTTGCAATTAAAGAGAAAGTTTTGAGCCTATGTCCTTTTTGATGTGGGAGAACTAGTGAGAGAGGAAATATTGATCCCCACAAATGTATGCCTTGCAGGGTCACTTCTCAAAGCAGAACCACTTTTCACACTTGCAAAGCTTCAGTTGTGCAGATCTGTTTATCTGCAGTGCTTTCTCCAAGATTCCTATTTTCTTGGAGTGTTTTTGTTCTTTTAAGACCCTGGCTGAATTTCCCTGTGTGGCTTTGAGTTACTGTGTATGGCAGGTAAGGTAGATAAAATATTAGTATTTTTGGCTATTAAACAGTAGTTCAATATAAAATAAAATATTTCCCTTGTGTAGAGTTGCCTGATGGAGGAGCAGAGGGACATTCATCTGTCCTATGTGGTTGTCTGCAAAGGGCAGTATGAACACCTTGAAAATTATTTCTGCTTTGTTATCAGTCTGACACAACCTAAGAAATGTGCTTACCTTCACCACTGTCCATGCTATCTCTGTTTGACTGAGGTATAAACCTAAAATAGAAAAGGCTGCGGCTCGCCTCAAGTTGCACCAGGGGAGGTTTAGATTGGACATGAGGAAAAATTTCTTTACTGAAAGAGTGAAACATTGGTCCTGCAGCGTTGTTCTTGAGGAGCAGAAATACTGCACAAAAAGCACGTGCAATTAGAGCTTCTGATGCCAGGCTTAGCTGGCAGAGCTTGCAATTAAAGAGAAAGTTTTGAGCCTATGTCCTTTTTGATGTGGGAGAACTAGTGAGAGAGGAAATATTGATCCCCACAAATGTATGCCTTGCAGGGTCACTTCTCAAAGCAGAACCACTTTTCACACTTGCAAAGCTTCAGTTGTGCAGATCTGTTTATCTGCAGTGCTTTCTCCAAGATTCCTATTTTCTTGGAGTGTTTTTGTTCTTTTAAGACCCTGGCTGAATTTCCCTGTGTGGCTTTGAGTTACTGTGTATGGCAGGTAAGGTAGATAAAATATTAGTATTTTTGGCTATTAAACAGTAGTTCAATATAAAATAAAATATTTCCCTTGTGTAGAGTTGCCTGATGGAGGAGCAGAGGGACATTCATCTGTCCTATGTGGTTGTCTGCAAAGGGCAGTATGAACACCTTGAAAATTATTTCTGCTTTGTTATCAGTCTGACACAACCTAAGAAATGTGCTTACCTTCACCACTGTCCATGCTATCTCTGTTTGACTGAGGTATAAACCTAAAATAGAAAAGGCTGCGGCTCGCCTCAAGTTGCACTAGGGGAGGTTTAGATTGGACATGAGGAAAAATTTCTTTACTGAAAGAGTGGTGAAACATTGGACCAGGCTGCCCAGGGAAGTGGTTGGGTCACCATCCCTGGAAGTATTTAAAAGACATGTAGATGAGGCGCTTATGGACATGGTTTAGTGGGCATGGTGGTGTTGGGTTGACAGTTGGACTCAATGGTCTTAGAGGTCTTTTCCAACCTTAATGATTCTATGATTCTATGACAATGCTGATGTATGAAATCTGAGTTACTTAAGCTGTTCACACACTTTTTCTGAAACAGAAGCTCTACTCTGTCTCTCAGGGTAAGAAAGGGGGGGAAATGTGTTTGACTAGCTGGATATATATGTATGTGGCTTAATCTGTTCTCTGTTGTGGGCTGCCAGTACTTTCTCAGAAATACTGATCTCTTGTCTCTACGATGCAGCCTGAGCTTCAGATACAGGGCTGTCTGCAGCCCTCTGTTCTGCTCTGTCTGCAGTGTATATTTGCATGAATTAGTGAGCTTTCCAAGCCTCTAATTGCTGAGTTAAGAACTGATGGCAGAGCTAGCCAAACCATAAAACCTACTTGGAATGGCAAAATGTGGAAGCTGTGCTCTGACGTGGTCTGTAGGGAACAAGGGAGGGACCAGTTTCCTAGCTTCCACAATGAAAATGAGGGGAAAAGATTATACAGGGGAATGAAGGATAGCAAGTTCACTTCTTGGAAGATGCACAGTTTGCATTGGGCATGTGAGTTGTCCCTGTGTGCCTATGCGCCTGTACTTGAACAGCGTTGGAGTTGCAGTGCATCCTTTGCTCCCTGCAGAGAGTAATTTTGGATTCTTCCGATGGGCTGGGAGCTCGGATTCACAGCTTTTACCCTTCACTGTTCTTGTATTAGTCCCAACTCCATGGGAGCAGGGGTAGGGAGGAAGCCTTGCCAAAGAGAATATTGTAGCTTTACAAAAAAATGTTTTAAGATGAAAAAACTTTCTGGGGCAGTAGCTTTTGTGTTTCGTTTTGTTTTTTCCACTACTTGTGTTCTCAGTTAAGATTTTGAATTAAATTCTACCCAAGATTGCTCTTAATTTTTCACCAGCAAAACAGTGCCTTGTTCCACCACCTCGTATTTTCCAAACATGAAGAAGTAAGAATTTTGCAATGCTGCTGTATAAAAGGACTTAAAAATATTAGAACTTTTCTTACATGGATTTTTCTATTTGTACTACTGCAAACTGCAGGGAACCCCAGTCTATACCTGGTGCTTCTTTATTATATATTTGCATGTGTTATCTTTCATTACAGAGGAGCTAAATACTCTTTATTAGGTATTATCTATTTTAAAGAATGGGAAATAGATAAAAACTTGGGATTGAAAAACTTGGTGAATGACATATTAAGGTTGCACTCTTCTTAAAGTTTTCATTGGGAAATGTAAAGTTTCAGGTTCCTCATAGTAGCATGCACTACACAAATGGAATACTGTTTTTTATGATAAAGCTCAGGGTATATCATTGCATAGAAAGACACTTTCTGGAAGTAGTCTGACTGCACTTTGAAAAGAATTTTATATCCTATCAGGTATCATGTATTGATCTCTATTTCTTGCAGATTTAGACCACCCCCCCCTTCTCTCTTCATTGCAGGAAGTCTGCAAATTCTTGAAGGATCCCAGTCTCTCTGACAAATTGTTGCTGCAGAATGTTTTTCAGGCAGTAAATCTATACTACAATTATTCAGGAGAAGCCTCATGCTTAGACATGTCTGAGACTGCAACAAAGAATCTGGGCCAGTTGGGTTGGTACTATCAGGTATGTGCTCTATCCTTTCTAAATTGTAACTCAGTGAAGTTTTTTGGGCTAGAGCTGATGAGAATTGTCAAGTCATTTAACTGTCAATGTATTGCACCAGATGTAATTGATGTACTGATGACAAATGTAAGCATGAAGCAAGTATGATTGTAGTGGAGAGGGCAAGGCACAAGAGAGAGGCATCTTTCCCAGGAGGTTTAGGTTGTGTCTTATTATCTAGCTAATTGTTGAGTTTCAGCTCTTCATATTGACTGAAAGTGATTTGCAGCAGCAGCATCTGTGCAAGCAAATATGTCCGGATATGTTGATACTGATTTCTTTCAACTAAAGCTGTTTATCCTGTAGCTCACTGAGACCCAACCTTTCCCATCAAGTAGGTAACAAAAATACAGATCCCTGTGGTAAGGGGTCCAGGGCATTCTGCTCTCTCCATCCCATTTACTAAGCACATGCAACACTGTTACATACAGTCTCCCTTCTGAGGAGCAGGGCAGCTGCTTACAGAAGCAAGGTGTTAAGAATTTGATGTTCAGGTTGTGACCATCTGCTCTTGGCTACTGTGTCCTATGTATTTGTTCCGGACAGCCCCAGGAGATGTGCAGGCTTCAGAAGTTGTCCTCTGAGAAAGGGGGGAAATGCCATATGGGTAATAAAGAATATGGCAGCTGGGCTCATCAGAACAACACATCTACTCTGCAGCTTGTTCCCTGCCTGCTTCTGAAGGCACGTGGGAAAGGGGACAAGTAGGAACAGACTGCCACGGTGGGGGCTATGTTGCTTCAAGGATATAATTTGTTTTTCTTTTTTAGCTAGTATCACTAAGGTGTCAGAGAATAGTTAGTGTGAAAGATGAAATTTTTGCTTGGTATCTGTGTTCTGCCCATCTACAAGAAGAGCTGGAAGGAGGATCCGGGGAACTACAGGCCTGTCAGCCTGACCTCGGTGCTGGGGAAGGTTATGGAGCAGATCATCTTGAGTGCTGTCAGGTGTCACGTACAGGACAACCAGGTGATGAGGCCCAGTCAGCATGGATTTATGAAGGGCAGGTCCTGCTTGACTAGCCTGATCTCCTTCTATGACAAGGTGACCCGCTTAGTGGATGAGGGAAAGGCTGTGGATGTTGTCTACCTAGACTTTAGTAAAGCCTTTGACACCGTTTCCCACAGCATTCTCCTGGAGAAACTGGCTGCTCATGGCTTGGATG